TTAGCACTCTGACAGATAAGTCAGTATCCTCTCCAGTTTTTACTTCTATTTTAAGTTACCCCATTTGTCTTTACGTACCTCAGTTTGGCTGAAGCTCTTCCTTTTTATACTGCATTCTAGGGGCCCACATCATCACCTTTCATCATCATATCTGGGACCCCCAGATATGCCAGAAGAATTATGGAATACTCGACCCTCGGATATATTCTACTCGGCCTTGGTCTTGTTCAGATGGGTCTGGTCATGCCGAGTTATCCTCGCCAGTCTTATCAGCTCTCGGCATCCTCTTTGAGTAGCTCGAGCGGTCACATTTACTCAGCCCCACAATTTGCAATTTGTCAAAAAATAAAATATTTATATTTCATAATTAATTAAGAATATTTACGTAATTACAGAAAAATCTGTTACTAATTGACCAAGAATAGTTACAGAATTACGAAAAAAATCTTTACTCAATATATAGACCATTATTAATAAATTATTCAAAATAAAAAGACAAAATTTTAAAAATAAATAAATAAATAAATAAATCTCAAACAACTAAGCACCTCGCTTTGCTTTTCAAATAATATATATATATACGCATAAACCCTTTATCCCTGTGCCGAAACCATATTATGTTTAAAAAATTTTACATGAATAACAGTTATGCTTTGACTTTAAGAAAGAAAGAAAAAAAAAAAATCAGAATGAGGAAAAGGAAATTAAAAATTACCAATGCTCGATAACGATGGTCTTAAAACTATCATCAGCAACAGCCTTAACCTCTGCGGTTTGTACTTGTACTTTTTGTTCTTTTAGGTCTTCCTTGGCGCTTGTTTTGGCTTTCCTGGGTTTGGATTTGGGTTTGGGGAGCTCAACGAGTCTGTGGCCGAGTTACCGTTGGGTCGGAGAGTAGAGCTCCGAGTCACCATCAACTCGCGTTTCAGAATCACAGGCATTTTTTCTTGTTCTTCACCTTCATCGCTTCTCCGTTTTTTCGGCGCCATCTCTACTTTCTCTCCTTTTTTTTTTTTCCTATTTCTCATGTAGGCCTTTTTATATCTTCTTCCTGTGAAAAGAAGATAATTATTTTGGCCTATTTTTGGCAATTATGAAATAAATTAATTTAATTTGTTTGGGAAGTGGGTTGGCTTTTTGGCTTTTTGGCTTTTTTGGCTATTTTAGCCTGGGCTTAAAAGCTTGGTTTGGGAAGGGCTTTTTGGCTTTTTGGCTTTTTTGAGTTTTTTTGTGAGAGAAGAATGTAATGATTATGGATTGGATGTGATGTTTTGTTTGTTATGGCTAAAATAGTCTATTTTGTCTTTTATGGCTAAAATAGCCAAAAAAGCCCAACTTGCAACTTGCCAAACAGAGGCTCCGTTATTGTTGTGGGTATTTTTTTTCTTTAACTTGGACTTCCAACTACGACCAAAGACGACAGTGGCGGTAGTGGTGGAGCTAGGCAACAGCAGGGTAGGGACGACGATGATGATGTCAACGGGTCTGGGCCTGTATTTTGTTTCAGATCTGATTTGATTATGTCCTAATTTTTTCAAGCCACATCTGTACAAAAAAATTAGTGATTTTTCCTGTATTGCAATTTTTTTTTTTTTTTGTGGCTTTTATATTTTGTTGTTTTTAGTTTGTGTTAAGTTTCTTACTTTCAATTCCTTGTACTTGCAGTTAGGATAAATTACGAACAGAAGCTGATAGTTATATTAATTTTTATTAAAAAGAAATCTTACTAAAATCGTCACTAAAAATAATTTTTTGTGACCTTTTTTTATCACGGTTTGTATAAATTGTCGCTAAAACTTACAATTAGTGACGTTTTTCTGTGACGAATTTTTCAAACTGTCGTTGAAAATTAAAAATTAGTGACCTTTTTTGTAACGATTTTTTTAAACTATCGCTAAAACTTATAATTAGTGACATTTTAGTGACAATTTTTAAACAATTACTTAAAAATTAATAATTAGTGACGTTTTTTAATAATATTTGATGGAAAAATGTTATTAATTATTATAAAACTTATTGAACAATAAGTCTATCTATTAGAACCTACACATAAATCTCTTTTTTTGTTCAATTGTAATGAAAATTATCACGTCATCCTCACATAAGACATTAGTTCTTGCGCAAAAATGTTAATTTTCATTTTAATATTCTTATTCTTCTTCTTCATTGTATTTTTTTATTTCTACTATATTTTTTAAGAGTCCGGATTCTCGGCCACCCTTCTTGGCGGCCGTTCCCAACAACCCCCCAAAACGACGTCGTTTTGAGAGTTTTTTTGATTTTTTTTTTCTTTCTTCTTCCTCGTTCGAACAGAACCAGAGGGAAGGGGAAGAAGAGAGAGAGGGGGAGGGGAGGGGAGGGGAAGAAGAGAGAGAGGAAGGGAGAAGAAGAGGGAGCCGCCGATGGGCCGGACTGGAGGGGGCCATAATCACCGGGAGAGGAGGAGGAGGAGGAGGAGGAGGAGGCGGAGGCGGGCCAGAGGCGGAGGCGGAGGCGACGGCGGTGCAGTTGCTGCGACGAGCTGGATCGGGCGATGATCGGACGGCTGGCGAGCTCGACGAGCTGCGACGGCGAGTCTTCGGCGAATCCGGACCCCCTCCCCTCCCCTTCCTCTCTCTCTTCTTCCCCTCCCCTCCCCTCTGGTTCTGCGAAGAAGAAGAAGAAGAAGAAGAAGAAGAAAAAAAAAAAATGATTTCGAGACAAATTCGAGCCTCAAATTCGAAGCCTGAATCATTAATCACGACCAGAATTATCTATAATTTATTTTCACTTTTTGATTTTTTTCAGTTGCAACTCCACTAGAAAGTAATTGTCAATGGAAGGCTTCAAATGATTGCTTCACCACCACTTTTACAAATTATATTTAGTAATGATTATGAATCTCAAACAAAACAGTGGTGATACATATTATTAAAAGAATAAAACTTAAGCCCCCAGTGGGGTTGAGGTCTGTTTTCATTGGTTCAAAAATTTTTTTTTTTTTTTTCCATTTTCTTCTCCATTGGCAGCCCCTCACGTGGAGGTGGGGGTGCTGTGGGTCTTCTCCTACTGGGGGGTCTCCAACAGGACTGTTTTAAAAATTACAATCCCCTCTCCAAGGTTTAAAGTAGCATTACTAATGCTAGGGTGCTTCCGTACTGGGAGTCCGAATCACGGCTCTTATTAAAAAGAGTATTAAGCCAGTTTTAATGAACTGGCAGTACAGGAAATAAAAATAAAAAATAAAAGATAAAGAGCAAAACATCAAATTAATTAAAGTCACAGTGTATTTAGAGCTATTATAGCTCATTGTTTTAGAGCTCTTAAACAATTTTCCAAACGAAAATAAATGATTCCTAAATGCACCAGTTGCCTATTGAGTGGTGTTTTAAGTTGTAAAAAATTAAATTTTTAATTTCTTTTAGTTTATTTTATCTTTTTATAAGTAAAAAATATGAGAGATGATGTGAGCTTTCCAAAAAAACCCTGAATGGATGAATCAAGTATTATTACAAAATATATTCTTTGTATATATATTACATACTACTTGAGATTTGAAAGGGCTAAATAAAAATAAATATATAAATAGATAAAATTGATACATTTGGTAAAAATTAGTAGATCAGCAAACGATAAAAAATAGTCGAATTCATTCATAGAATAAATAATTATTTTATTTTATTTTATTTTGGATTAGAGAAAAATATAATAAACTTCTTACATTCATTTGTCTTCTAATAAAATTAAAATTAAAATGACTGAAACTAATACAGATAATGTAAACATATAGTCTAAATAAACAAAGTAAAAAATATATCTAAATGTTAAAAAATAATAATAATATTATTATTTTTTCATCTATACAACTAATTAATTAGTGATGAAAATAAAATTACAAGTCATAAATTTTTAAAAAAAACTCTACTAGTATTTATTTATTTAAGTAGCCCTCATTGCGAGCGGCCCAATTCGAGCTACAATTTTGTCTCATAGAAATGCCCAGCCCGAGCTCGTAAAAATAAGGCCCGCTACACATGGCCAGTATGTGGCTTGGGCTCTATTGGACTTCACTTTTGCAGCCCGATCTGATGCTAGCCCTTAATGACGAGCATAAGTTATAACCTTAAAAATTAGATGAGGGAGGGTTTGACCCTATAAAAGAAACTCTATTAGTCTCGGCTAAATGAAGCCAATGCCCTAATACATAGTGTAATCTTCCAGGAGTTAGATGAATCAAAATTGCCATTTTGAACACGAGCAATTCCCAGTCTCTTACTTGTCTCCTGATTTTTCTTGACATTCACACATTTGACAACAAGAAAAATGCTTTGTAGCTCAAATTTATGTGACCCGAATGACTCGAATGTATCAAAATGACGTCGTTTTACCTCCAAAATGACATCGTTTTGAGACATTAGAGCCATTCGGATCATGAAAATTCAAACTATCAAGCATTGTTGTGGCAACAATTAGAACAAGAAACACTACTAAAAACAAATTCAACAGCTGTTCCAGCAGCTTGCCAAGATCAAAGATATTCATAATCGAATGAATTTGTCTACTCTACTCAACTCAGCAATCATTTGACCCAACTACTTTAGGTCGGATACATAATCCATTCCCTCAAGTGGATTCTATCCCAAGTCATATCCTCAGTACAATTAGATGATTTTTAATCTGTGCGTCAATTGGTTCTAGGAGCCATCAATATAGGTAACAAGAAAGAAGACCAAGCCCAACAACGATGATATCTTTGTGCAAACAAACCCATTTAACATTGACATTACCAAAGATGTAAAATTTGACACACTTTTTTTTTTTTTTTTTGATAAATAAAAATTTGACGGTGAGTTGAGTTAAAGCATACCAGAAAACATCCAAGGATCTTAAGTACGAGCTTTATTAATGTACAAGTCCCAAACCAAACAAGAACACACCAGAAAGATCAATCATCAGGAATGTATATAAATCTCAAACCCATCTCACAACATAACCTCAACTAGAGGCAAACAAAATTCATCTATCAAAAAAGGTGAGTATATTATTTGACATACAAACAAAACTTCAGGAGGCAATATATTCAGCAAACATGAAAGGATAAAAGAGAAGCAACAGAGAAACAAGAAGGTTTTCCGAAACAACGTAAGTTCAAGCTATACATGCATGTACAATTTGGTTAAATACATTTACAAACACCTTTCAGTGAAGACTATCTCACCTTCAAATCAAACCCTCTGCCCAGTGCCCACAATAACCAAAGTTGGGTTCCTCTAATCAGAAGCACTAGGAAAGAACTGCAATTTTAATCTAAATTGACCGAATGACAGTCTTTATGTAAATAAATTCTTCTCATGCGAAGTCCACAGTGGTGGATTTAAATGGGACCAACTGTCTATCTTAGATGAGAATCATAAGGGTCAAAAAGTGTATCAGGAACAACAAGAGGCAACTTATCTATGTACATGAACAGCCGTCTAAGATTTTCGCGTGTTATTGCTGCCATGTCAATTACATCCCTACCGTCCATAAATACCCAGAGATCACCGGAGTTCACTCTCTTCAAACTGTCACGGCAAAAAGGGCACGACTGAGATCGTGTGCGCCTGCAATATGTTGCAACACAATTTTTAGTCTCATCCATTAACAAAATGAAGAGACAGATTTATATCATGGCCTGGCAAAAAATACCAAGTTGAAGATTCTGTAGGGGCAGCATAGTTCGTGAAAAGAAACAATCAACATGGTGGTTTTTTATTCTGGATGTGCCCATTGATAATTTGTTCATGTAGATGTCTGTGGGTACATCTGGTTGATTTTCTCATTCCCACAAGGATCCATGTATCAGATAAATTTCCTTATTGTCAAACACGAGCTTAAGGCTCCAATTGGATAAGTGGAATTCAAATCAAGGGATTTGAAATTGAATTTGATAAAAGTAATTGAATAGAGGTACAGGAGAAGCGTTTTGTTATAATCCTTGAACAAGTAGTATCTTTCATGGAGAGATTTCAAATAACTATTTTCACCAAGTTATTTCAAATCCATCAATATAAAACTCTCAAATCCATTCTTGATATCTAAATCTAAAATGTTACATTGAATTGAAAGCTATAATCTTCAAAATAGTGATGTCACCAAAAAAAATCATTCATTTCAAATCCACAAATGCAAATGCAACCTTAATCTTCAAATCATATCCAAATAAGCAATGGGCAGTTCCTGTTTTTATTAAATACTTTCAAGTCTACGAATAACTCTGGAAAAGGCTGAAGTAACAGGTTTCAACCATTCAAACAAAAAAATGGTGCATCCTACACATCCTGATTGGGAAACTCATTTTGAACACCGTGTTACAAAATCATCATTTTTTAAATTAAAATTAGCAACCCTATATTATAAAAATTACATCCAACTAATATCCAATCAAGTAAAACAGTGACTTAACTACTTCGTTCTTTCACTGAGGTACCATCAACAAAGAAATGCACAGACAGTTTCAAAGCCCATCTAAAAAGAGCCATAAAGTATGAGAAAGATAAGAACACCGCTACTCACCACACAAAAACTGGATCTTCTTCCTCCCTTATTTCATGGCTTTTTGAACAAATAGATTGATAACAAATTTTAGGAAAATGTTTGAGGGCCACAAAATCAGTGGCTCAAATGGCTCAAAACTGCCAAAATGACGTCGTTTTGCGTTGTTTTGCATCCAAAACGACGTCGTTTTGACAGTTTTGAGCCATTTGAGCCACTATTTTTGTGGCCCTCTAGCATTGCCGCAAATTTTATTTGATGGGAGATCATGTGACACCCACCATTCAATGCACCTCCATAAGTCGGGGACGGAAGATTCGGCCTTGATTTATCCTTGTTTTATTTCATTTAGGCTTGATTTTAGGATTTCTTTAATTTTAAAAACCAATTATAGAATTTCATTATTTTGGGATTTATTGTGGGTGTTTGGGAAGTGGCTATTTTAGAGTTTTTTTGGCTATTTTAATAGGCTATTTTAGTTTTTGTGTTTGGGAAGACAGGATGGATTTTTATTTGAGTTGGTGTATTGAAAAATGTGTTGAAATGATGTTTGAAGTTAAAATGACAAATTTGTCCCTAACTTTACATTTTCCAAAATTAATTTGAAGGGGTAAAATTGTAATTTAGCTACCTGTCACTGTGACAGTGGTAGGACTGTCACAGTGGCAGCCACTGCCGGCCTTTTTTTAATTTTTTTTAATTAAAAAACTTTTGATTTAGGAACTTTTAGGCTAAATTGTTTTTGAGGCTATTTTAGCCCCAAATCTAGGTTCCCAAACACCCCCATTGTCTATTCCATATTTGGGACCCTGTGATTAGCCTACAAATACTAGATATATTATTATTGGGACACCATTGACATTGAGATTAAGGGGTTGTTTGGGATGACCTAAATAAGTGTACTTTTTGTCTTTTTATGAAAAGATGTGCAGAAAAGTAGAGAGGTCATGTGATGGAAAAAAAGATAAAAAGATAAAAAGATGAATTATTTTGTAATAGTCAAACTTGGCCTAACACTGCATCCAGAGATTTGCTACTGTTTAATTTCTTTGATTCCTTTTTTTTTTCCCCTTTACTTTTGTTTTTGGTTCTGATAAGGATTTACAGAATCACTTACAAATAGAAGAGAGTCAGTTAATAATAAAAGAGAATTTTTCTTTCTTTTTGTTTTGGTTGGGGGGCGTGAGTTGATGAGTGAGGTACAAACATGGTTTCATTAGAGAAAAGTGATAAGTGCAATGCAAAGAAGTTAGAACCGTGAATAAGTTAATAGTTTATCACTATTAACGAGATAAAAAGAAAAGATGAACATGGGGACTGTTTTGGAAATAAATATTGAACCAATACTTGCACAAAGAGCGGGGCTACTTTCAAATTCCAAAGTTTCAAAGGAGGGAGAGAAAGAGAGAGAGAGTACCACTGGCGGTAGCATTTCAAGCACATGGCATGGTTGCAGTTGGGCAAGACAATCTTACTATTCATCTCCATGCAAATTCCACATTCTTCTTCTCTTTCAATGTCTATATCCGAATATTGCCTCTGTTCTTCATCATCTTTTCTTCTGTACCTTTCCATGCATACTGTCTTTTGCTTTTTGTCTTCTGTATCAGTAATCCCACTTTGAAGTTGCAGCAACGAGGGATAAATAATCGCTGGCCCAAGAAAATTCAGATATCAGAAACGAAATAGAGACTAGATGCCATAAATATGGATAATTGTGGTTCCAAACTAAAACTTACCATAAAATTCTCTTATACTTGCTTTTCTTTCATGGGTAGACATGGTTGTGGTGCCATCAACATAAACCTAAAGCAAAAGGGTACAGTCATAAAAATGCATAGTTGAAAAATAAATAAAACAGATAACCGGATTGATATCCAATTCTCAACCTTGTAAATTTGACAAAGAAATCAGAAATAGATAACCCAGTTGATATACGATTCTCAACCTTGTAAATAAGAATTCTCAGCAGTCCAAGGGCACCAGCAAGGTGGCAGTCTGTCCACTGTACTAGGAAAAGGAACAGGTGTGCAGCTGGACTGTAGGACATTCTCATTTGAAGACAGGCACCGTCATACTCCCTGGGAACATCAGACGCCCTGCAACTCGCATCCAAGTATAAGAATTTGGTCAGAAACATGGAAATCTGACATTAATGCTGTATTTGGTTGGGGGATTTGACAATGGGATTTGAAAAGAGAAATGGAAAAGAGAAGTGAAATGTAAATAAAATATACTTATATTTCATCTAGTTTCACACAGCTTTTCCCTTTTTCTTTCCAAATCCCTCCTCAAATCCCCATCCAAACACGGCATAAATCAGCTTAGCAAGTCAATTCTAAAACAAATAAATAAACTACATAAAATAGAGACATATGAAGAGATTTGGGACCCCTAGTAATACTCTTATGCAGAAAGGCTACAATTATGCAACACAGAAATGCATTGGCAAACAATGTAGGAGTTCTCTCTCACTGGACATATTGATAAACTCTCAATCATTCGGTATAAAAGTAGATATCAATTAAAAGCCAACAGCACAACTTTATGCTTGCAATTTCACTGACCACAGCCAATTTTCCAACTGAAACTAGGTGGCTTAGCAGAGTATCGCTGACTTGCTAAGACACAACTCTCGAGTATATGATCCCCACAGTTGGACTGCATTGGCCATGTGAATTGTGAGGACTGGCTTGTCGGATCATCAATTGAAAGACAAAAATGGCAACTTTATGCTTGCAATTTCACTGTCCACAAACAACCAATTTTCCAACTGAAACTAGGTGTCTCAGGGAAGTGTTGCTGACTTGCTAAGCCACAACTCACTACTATACAATCCCCTGGCCATTGGACTGAAATGGCCATGTGAATTTTGAGGAATGGCTTGGGTCAAAAAGAGTCAATGCAAATGTTTCCATCAAAATATGCCTCAATGTACCTTAAAGAGATAATCACAGGGATTTCAAGTGAAAGATTCACACTTGAGTTCATTAATAGATAGATACCCAAGAATAATAAATATTTTGGAACTAAAACTTGAAACCATTTGGTAATATATTGAGTTCCATAGGCATTTCAAATAAAATCTCAACAGATTCAATGGGTAAATCAATATAAAATTAGCACCTTTACTCGAATCAATAAATACAGAGAAAAAAAGTAGCATAGAATTGAATATGAATCAAGATAAAAAGATTTACCAAACTTCTAAGAATTGAAAGTGGAAACAGAGTGTGAGAGCAGAAACAAAACCCTAAAAACCCAGACAACTAAATAAAAATTACAAAATTCAAAATCATTCAGCTTTGTAGCCTTAAATTTAAGAACAACTTCTTGAAAAATCAAAACAAACACGAACCTCCCACAAACCAAAAACTCATCAAAAACACAGAAAAAGTTACTATAAATTACAGTGTGTTGGCGTGCTGAATATCGGCTTCAAGGACTTTGAGAGAATCCTTGAAGGACTTTCGCATGGACCCTGCGTACATCTCCTTCTCCTTTTTACCCACCCAATTCTAATCAGAAAAAATTTTCCTCAGAAACAAACACTCATCAGCATCGATCGATCAATCAATCATCTACTCACACTATCTCACTCCAATCCAAACCCCAATAAATCTTCATCAAAACTGCGCAAAACCCTCACTCTGTGTGTGTGTCTCTCTCTCTAGACTCTCTACTTTCTCTCTCTAGTGTTTGTTTCGGATTCTGTATTCTTCGATTCTTCTGTTCTCTCTCTCTCTCTGAAATGCAAAGACGAACGACTGAGAGCGCCTGTGGAAATGCCACGTGTACAGTAGGTGGTGTCACTTTCGATATAGATATTAAAATAATACTAATAAATATGATTACAATAAAATAATACTAATAAATATGATTACAACAAGACTCCATTAACAATTGTATTGCATAATGGCCAAATTAGATATGCGCTTCTAGATTTAGCAAAATTACAGATATTTTTTGAGATTTGAGAAATTATAGATATTTTTATGAAGGTATTATTTGCATAACAAATTAAATGACAAATTGTTATGAAAATATAAACTTTAAGGGACAATTTGTTATGAAAATATAAACTTCAAGGAGTATCTGTAATTTTCGAAACCTCAAGAGAATATCTGTAATTTAGCTAAACCTCGTCGGAGGGAAATTTTTGATGTGATATATGATATTTGATACAAAAATTTACAACTCATAGCCAAATATACAATTCAAAATTCTATCAAAACACAAAAAAAAAATTAAAAATCGAAAAATATTTTTTTCGAATATATAATAATTAACATATGTCAATTGTATAAAAAAAAATTACACTGTTCTGGACAACCGGTGGGACGTCTGGTAGGACTACCGGTGGGACGATCGATTAGCTGAAATTTTCCCATCTTTGGCAGTGTTTTCAAAACTGAGTGTGAAATTAACTTTGGAAACCATAAACAAACATTGAACGCAAATAAAGAGGTGAAATCATAGTTTGAAAACCATTCCAAACAGAGCCTTAATTTTTTTTTTTTTACTTTTTTTAGTTTTTTTTTTAAAAAATTGTTATGTAAAAAAATAGAGAGGTAATATGATAAAAAAAATTAAAAAGTTAAATAAAAGCTAAAAAACTAATCTCCACAAATTGCCTCTCTATTGGGCATGGTTTGTTTGGGGGTTTAAATTTGATGAGATTATGAATAAAATAATGTTAGAGATCCTAAAAATTTTATCAAATGTTTGGAACCCACACGATGTGGGTCCCATGTCGGTTCTACACCCATGTAAGACATTTGGTAGAATTTTTGAGATCTTTAGCATTTTTGTTATGAATATGGTAGGTTTGAGTGAAGCAATTATTAGTATGGTAGTATTAAATTGAAGATATAAGATAAAGCGTATTTGTTTGTATACTAATATGATGGTATTAATTAATTAGGATTAAATTTATAAAATTACCTAAAAATCTTCCTCTTGCATATAATATAATTTTGTTGGCTTTATAAAGTGAAGGGCAAAATGGCAATTTAACCATTGATTTGTGTGAAGGGATTAGCTATCTCAACCCTTCGATGAGAATGCTAATCCCACCATAGAAGGGAATTAATACTCTTAGGTCATGTTTGTTTGAACCAGCTAGATTAGGTTGGATTAATATTCCCATGACTAATAGTCTTAGGACTACAAATCCTTTGAATTGTGTATCCTATTTTATGTTTAGATTGAGCTAGGATTATTAGGAGAGACTAATAGTCTAGGTTTTGGCTCAGTCCTCCAATTGATATCTGACCCCCCTCTGTGGAATTGAATAGTCCATCATATGCAGAATACCACATCCAGATGGATTGTTAATCCATACTTCAATTGTTTAACCAAACATTAGATTAATAATTTTATTGAACTTTTAGTTTAATTCCAAACTCATGTCATCCAAACAAACATGACTTTATGAGATTACTAATCCCATGACATGTTATTACCCCTAAACATAAGTTCAGTGGGTCCCATAGATTAATAATGCAATCCTCCCTTCCAAATCTCCAATCAAACATAGCCTTAGGTCTATGTTTTCTTTTTTAAAATAAATAAATAAATAAATAAAATTATAAATTATAAATTTTTTGAAAATTAAATTTTTATTTTTCATATTTTTTTTTTATATTTAGTGAATATTTTTAAAATTTTTAGTATTTTTTTTACTTTTTAGATATATCTAACTTAAATGTACCTAAAAAATAAAATATTTTTAAAAAATTAATAAATACACAAGAATACGAAAATATACTGAATTTTAGGTTTTTTTTTTGCGTTTTTGTTATTTAGTGAAATTTTTAAAGATTTTTTTTCACAAATACTATACTTTTTAAGTGTATTTAAGTTAGGTATATCGAAAAATTAAAAAAGAATTAATTAAAATATTAAAAAAATCAATAAAAAAGAAAAAAACAGAAAATAAAAAAAAATAGTTTTAAAAAAAATTAGATTCAAAATTTTGAAATCAAATAAGGTGAATATTTTTTAAAATTTTTCTAAATTCTTATAATTAAAAATTTTGATTTTTCTTTTATTATTTTTTTTTTTAAAAGTTCACATCGTATATAGTGCACTACCCCAACGCCCACCACCGCTTATCCACCACATTGCACATTTTTATTTGTGACACTTAGCCTCCGTTTGACAAGTCGACGTTGAGATTTTTTAGGTTAAAATAGTCACAAAAAATAAAATAAAATTTTTAGTTCAATAAAACAAAACATCACATTTAACTCATAATCATTACATTCTTTATCTCATAAAAAAGTCAAAAAGCCAAAAAAGCTCAAAACTCTTTCTAAACAAGACTTTTTAACCCTAAGCTAAAATAGCCAAAAAAACTAAAAGCCAAAAAGCCAACTCACTTCCCAAACAAAGCCCGAACATTCACAATGGAATAACTAAAAAAGTGTATTAAAACACTCTATATAACAAAAAATGATAAAAGTATGACCAAAAAATGTGTGTTAGATGTGTTAAGAATTTGTTAATTTTAAAGAGTGAGTGGTGGTACAATGGATATGTTGAAATGTGTGTTAAAAATATATGTATATATATATGGTTAGCAAAGTTTTTGAGGGAGACGGTCAGTTGACCGATCAATTGCAAAAAAAGAAAAAATTTACTTGTAGGGTCTGGACGTCTGGGAGGACGATCCATCAGACATCTGGTCAAACAACCCCGCGGCACTTCCCCACGTCTCCCTCTCTCGCTAGCTAAAATGGTAGCTACAGTTAATACACAATACTACCAACTGACACTAATATACAAGTTAGCAACTACATTGCAGCACAAAACAGTGTTTTGAGCTGGCAAAAAATTAGCAATTAACACTAACACAGCATTTAACTAGTCCATTGTTGATACTCTTAGGAGTGTTTTGAGAAAATGATTAAAAATTACTTTTTGACTTTTTTTGATTTTTTATGAAAGAGGAAAATGAGTTAAAAGCTGAAAAGTGTCTTTTAATCTACTTTCCTAAACAAACCGCTTTCAATCCCCTTTCATAACAATCGACAATTATTTTCAATTATCATCAACTATCTTCTTGGCACTCTTTTTTAGCTTTCGTTTGGGATGTATGTTGACTTTTTTACTATTTTAACATGGGGCTAAAAAAACTCATTTGGAATAGACTTTTTGGATTTTTTAACTTTTGTGAGAGAAAAAATGAAATAATTATTATTTAGATGTGATATTTTATTTTACTGACAGTTTATTTTGACTTTTTATAGTTATTTTAGCCCAAACTTTTTATGTCAAACGAAGCCTTACTAGTTTGAAAATAAATTTTAAAAATGTATGTATATATCAAAAATACTTTTATTTTTAATTTTATTAAATAAATATCAACTCATTTAATATTGTTTTTTTTAAATAAATATAATAAATGATAAATGTTACTAGACGGAACCTAAATATTTATTTATCGCATAAACTTTTGAATCATATGATAAAACTTAAAAGAGAGACATTTACATAATTTTTTATAATTATAAATTAAATTACAATTTTAAAATTAATGAAAATGTGTTGTATAATTAACCCAATAATAGAAAATATAAAATTACAACGCTTTCAAACCCAGATGTGAGCTCTCTCTCTCTCTCTCTCTCTCTCTCTCTCTCATATCCACAATTTGCTTTTTGTCTGCCACTTTTTCACGTGCTTTCCTACCCCGCACCGTTGATCGCTACATGCCATCTGGCCCAAATCTTGGCCTTCTTCTTCCATTTATTTGCCAAACTGCCCTATCATGCGTTAAAAATATATGTTAAAGGAAGTATTAAATGAAAATAATTACACCCATTTATAAAGAAAGAATAAAAAGTGAGGCCTGTTATTTACACTTATTTTATTTCTTTGGATCCTTGCTCTTCCATTCTTTTTTTATTATTATAATTTTGTCCTTATATCAATTTTTATTTTTGATCTCATCTTTATCTTTCCAACCCTAACTCTAATCCCATCTCCATCTCCACTCCACTCCACTCTACTCCAATCTACTTCACCTCGGCTAGCCAACACCTCATTACCAGCCTCGCCATCGCAACCCTTCATCTACTTCTAGTACCTCTCTGATCACCATTGCTTACCCATTCGTCACTGTAGCACTATCTCTCCATCACACAGCCCTTCGCCACTACAAACCTCATCCACTAGAACTCGTAATCAGTCACGATCTGAAACAGCTACAAACCCCATAGCTCTACCCCCGATGGGCTACCTCTTTCGTTTACTTTTGACACCTGATATTCTATCTTCGTCATTTATCGCCACTCCTCTTTTCTTTTCTTTTTTTCTTTTTCTTCCTCCAAAAACCCTAGATCTGAAAGATTTGAAATTTCAACCTCAGGATTTTTAGAGGAAGATGAAAGAGAAGAAGAATAAGACGAGATTATGGGTCTCTCTCTCTCTCTCTCTCTTTCTCTTGCGATGGCTGGATTGTAGTGGAGAATTCGCGTGGTGGTTGGGTTGTGGCGGAGAGTTTGCACAGTGGCTGGATCGTAGTAGAGAGTTCGCGCGGCATTGGCTTGGATGTGGTAGAGAGTTCGCGCAACGGTGGCTGGGTTGCAGTGGAAGAGAAGTGAGACAGAAGAGAAGAAGAATAAAAGAGAAGAAATGGAGAAGAGAATATGGGAATAAGAGTTGCATGAGAGGGTAGTCGCCTGTAAGGAAAGAGAGATGGTGATGGCCGGAGGTAATGGCGACTATCGGAGGTA